TGTCAATATCTACTTCAACTCATATGAATGTGACGCTGTCAACAGACAGACATTTAAGGCACATATTATGTATTTTCTATCAAACAGACCATGAGATATTTTGACAGTGCTCTTGATTTGATGTACAATAAACAAATAGATTAATTCAAATAAAGATTACATCATACAACTTGTGATGATGTTGTTATTTTTGAAAAAGAAAGACCAGGCCCCGATTTCTCGAAACAAACTTAAGTTCGAGTTTTGACTTAAGTAAGAGTTTTTACTCAAATGTGAGAAAAAGCAAGAAAATGCATTTCCCAGAATGAACTGAAATCGATATTACACTCAAATATAGTTGACAATTTGGGCTTTTTTATTTAAAAAAATGCAGTTCATTAAAAAAATCAGCAGTTTCAAATTGTCAAACTCAGTTTGAAATTTGAGTAAAAAACTTAAGTTTTTTCGAGAAATCGGGGCCAGGTTGACAAGAGAATGGCTACAGTTTTGGCACATGTAATTTCTGATGCACCTCTTTCCTTCAGTTGCATTCGTTTACTTTCATAAGTTGTTTAATGCTGCACTCAGCAGTATTCCAGCTGTGTGACAGTTGTTGTAAATAATTGAGTCTGGGCCAGACAAACCAGTGATTGATATCATGAGCATTGATCCATACAACTGGGATACACTAACATCCATCAATAGACTCTAGTCTGGACAACCATTGGTGACCTGTTATGACAAGCATGAGGTCCTGAAGATCAGTTCCAACCTGGATCTTTCCGGGACTGTTTGTTTAGTGATGCATTGAGTGAGTTCATTCAGGGAATGACCTTTGAAGATTCCTCGCTAGAACTGTACCCCAGCCAATACTTGTCCTAAGACCAATACGGCAAGACCTAATGGATTAGGAGCTTAGAGACTTGGTGGATTGGGTGCACAGACTCGGTGACTTGGTGGATTGGATGAACAGGCCCAGTCACTTGATGGATTGGATGGACAGGGTCAGTCACTTGGTGGATTGTGTGGACAGGGTCAGTGACTTGGTGGATTGTGTGGACAGGGTCAGTGTTAGTGTTTTAGTAGATTGGATGAACAGACTAGTGACTTGGTGGATTGGGTGGACAGTGTCAGTGACATGATGAATTTGGTGGACAAGGTCAGTGACTTGGTGGATTGGGTGGACAGGGTCAGTGACTTGGTGGATTGGGTGGACAGGGTCAGTGTTTTAGTATATTGGATGAACAGGCTCAGTGACTTGATGGACAGTGTCAGTGACATGATGAATTTGGTGGACAAGGTCAGTGACTTGGTGGATTGGGCGGGCAGACTCAGTGACTTGGTGGATCGGGTGGACAGGGTCAGTGACTTGGTGCATTGGATGAACAGGCCCAGTGACTTGGTGGATTGGGTGGACATGGTCAGTGACTTTGTGGATTGGATGAACAGGCCCAGTCACTTGATTGATTGGGTGGACAGGGTCAGTGACTTGGTGGATTGGGTGGACAGTATTATTGATGTGATGGATTGTGTGGACAGGGTCAGTGACTTGGTGGATTAGGTGGACATGGTAGGTGCCTCGGTTGATTGGGTGGACAGGGTCAGTGCCTTGGTGGATTGGGTGGACAGGCTCAGTGACTGGGTGGATTGAGTGCAGAGGGTCAGTGATGTGGTAACTGGTGTGGACAGGCTCAGTGTCTTGGTTGATTGGATGGGCAGGGTCAGTGACTTGGTGGATTGTGTCGACAGGGTGATTGACTTGGTGGATTGTGTGGACAGGGTCAGTGACTTGGAGGATTGGGTGGACAGTGTTAGTGACATGATGGTGGATTGCTAGGATAGGGTTAGTGACTCAGTGGATTGGATGAACAGGCTCAGTGACTTGGTGGATTGGGTGGGCAGTGTCATTGACATTATGAATGTGGTGGACAAGGTCAGTGACTTGGAGGATTGGGTGGACAGGGTCAGTCATTTGATGGATTGGATGAACAGGCTCAGTGACTTGGTGGATTGGGTGGACAGGGTCAGTGACTTGGTGAATTAGATGAACAGGCCCAGTCACTTGATGGATTGGGTGGACAGGGTCAGTGACTTGACGGATTGGGTGGACAGTATCATTGATGTGATGGATTGTGTGGACAGGGTCGGTGACTTTGTGGATTGGGTGGACAGGGTCAGTGACTTGGTTCATTGGGTGGACAGACTCATTGACTTGGTGGATTGGATGGACAGGCTCAGCGACTTGGTGGATTGGTGAAAAGTGTCAGTGATATGATTAAATGGGTGGACATGCTCAGTGACTTGGTAGACTAGGTGGACAGGCTCGATGTCTTGTGGATTGGGTGGACAGTCTCATTGAGTGGTCAATGTCCGTGACATGGTGGATTGGGTGGGCCATCTCAGTGATATTGTGGATTGGGTGGACAGGCAGGTTGCCATCACGGAATACAGAGAAGCAACTAGAATACTGCGTTAAAGTTGAAACCTTGTTACTTTTAAGGTACTATTTTGGTACAGGTGTACCTTTTGTTGGTAAGTGGGTCTATGGATGTATTATATATAGGTATGGGTTGAGATTTAAGGTATTTTATTGTTATTGACTGAGTAGTTGTTTTGTTTGTTGTTTAACACGGTTCCCAGGGTGAGTGAGTGAGTGAGTTATTATATTATATTATTATAATCTATTTATATAGCGCTGAGTTCCAGCTAGGCTGCTCAGAGGCCCCTTGGTTTTTCCCTCTATCATAGGATGATAATCTCAACGGCACTTCGTATTATCTCCCTGGGGGATCATATAACTCTTGCAGCCACTAGGCGCATCAAGTTATTGCGGCTTTCCCATCCTTACGAGGTACCCATTCACAGCTGGGTGGACTGGGACACATAGTCACAGTACTTTGTCCAAGTTTACTGGACGTTGCTGTACCCGTGTTTGCACGTATTCATGTGGCCACCCTCTGGTCATATACCAACGGATTCGTGGGTTCTTTTAAGTGCACAGGGTTGTGTACTGTAAACCAGGGGTTGTTAGTGCTGGTCGACACCTATCTGTCTTAGTCTGTGGTTTGATTCTCAACCGGTAATGAAAGAGTGAGTAAGCATGCACATGCCCTCCCAAATGTTCTCGTTTGTTCGCTTTCACACTCGCTCACTCACTCTCTCTGAAAGCATCTTTCCGCCCACATAATGGCTCTCGCTCGCTCGCATCTGCCCACGGAACGCTCTCGCACTCACGGGCCGGTGGGGTAGCCTAGTGGTTAAAGCACTGGCTCGTCACGCCGAAGACCCGGGTTCGATTCCCCACAAGGGTACAAAATGTGAAGCCCATTGATGGTGTCCCCCGCCGTGACATTGCTGGAATATTGCTAAAAGCGACGTAAAATCATACTCACTCACTCACTATCGCACTCACTCACTCATGCTGTTCTCAAACACTCACTGCTACTCACTTTCTCGTTGGTTTACAGATATAAGAACAGATATACAAACTGTATGTTTATCTTTATTGAAATACATCGTTGCTACTGACTCAATACACTCATTCCCTCTCCTCTTGGCATTTAATCAAACAATCAGTGGCGTCAGATAATGATCATAAAACATATGTTGACATGAATTGAAACTAATGAAAAATACAGAAAAGCCTGCAACAAAAACACTGTTGCAAGATGCCTTGTTACTTAACCCCCAAATTTCAACATGTCCCGTTTCCCTACCCCCACCACTACCCACGCGTATGCATTATCAATATCATTATATTACCAAAAAATACTGCAGTATTAAATCGACATGTGTGATGGATTACACCTACACATACACACACGCACGCACACACGCAAACGATTAAAAAAACTGGGAGATATAGCATAGTCAATCAATGTTGATATGATGTCTGTCTTTAAAAAGTCTTTGTTCCTATCCAAATTGAAGGTTCGGGTTCCCCTACTTTTTTTTAAGAGTATATATTCAGCCTACTTATACTACTTTTGCTTGAAACTTTTGCACTAAGTACACTTTAAACTAAACAAATACTAATTTATACTAAATACATTTTGCATATTTACATTTCATGCTAAAAAGGTCTGCACCCTTGTATATGTACATTTCTAACTAAAACATTCTGAGCACATAGTATGTTGTATATGAAAGGAGCACAAGTGAATGCTCTGACTGAACGACTGTTTGCCACTTGGTCACGTGTAGTACACGATTATAGCCTGATACTATACGTCTATGATATACTTTTTTCCACAGTGCGAGGCTCGTTGCATGCACACCGGCGCTATAGCCGTGGCGGAAACCGTGTGTGCCTTTTGTACTAACTATTCACAATATGCTCTAACAATTTCGTTGTGGAACCTCAGCATTCGGTTGTAATTTTAGTAAGATAGGGCACTCCTGTCAGCAATTTTATTGGATCTACAGGAATAGTTGTGAGGTCAATAGTTCTGACTTCTGTGCCTTCCTCTCCCGAAAAATACCGTCATTTATCCTCTGTCGCTAAACATCATGCTCATTGAAGACATAAGTAACACAGACAATGATAAAGACAATATACACTAAGTTATGTAGGTCATACTAAATACGTTTATCTGCACATTGTCCATAAATTAGTGCGGATACATACACAGAACACATATATACCTAGCATCTTTTTCACTAGAAACATTACTGATCTAGCAGATCTTCAATAGATACAAATTATAATCAGCACAATAATGCTGGACATTTTAATGCGTAGACATTTTGTGCAGAACACTCATTTAATGCACTTTGCTCTTAACACATTTAGGGCAGCATTTTAATTTCTGTGTTTCTCATCGCCCGATCGACCCTTCTTTTTTTATTGATGACCCCTTAAAAAACCCTTTTTTTCATTCCAACACCGCCGACTCGAACCAAAAACGTACCGCCTCGTCATACAAAATGTTTATATTTTCTTTCAATCAGTCGCTGCCACAAGTCCAAAGAACGTGAGAAATTGTACTAGGGATTACAATAGATGAGAATCAAGAACAATATTCAGATAATTTTGTGTTTATTAAGTTTCTTATCCCGATCAACCGACCCATGATCCGAATTTGGTGGTTACGTGAAACATAGAAAACAGATGCCCTTACTGTATACACAGTGGCACTAGAACACATTATACCAAAACATATAATACGTAAGGCCATTGGCACGCAACTTATGTTACACGAAAAACATTTTGTACATCAGACTTGTTAAGATATACTTACTCATAATTACATCTTATCCTAAGCACACTTTATAAATATTTATCCATTTAAATAAAAAATATTTTCAATATCAGCTTGGACCCGTGGAGATCCGGGTTAGAATTGATCTCCATCAAAGCCATGCTTCTCCTAAGAGGTGACTGACGGGATCGAGTGGTCAGTCTGGGATTTGTTCAAGCAGTCACTGGATTGTCTGGTCCAGACATTATTATTGACATATTAACATACCGCGGTCAGATAGTTGGAAAATTGCGGACATAAATATTCTCAATATTTGTTTCAATAAGTTATTGAAATATATGCTGAAACTGACAGTCTTACTCCTGAAAAGTCTCAAACTGAGACTTTTACTCCTTCTGAAATCACTGGTCATCTGATGACACACACCGTGTCTCACCCATTGACTGACTGCGTCTTAACTGTGGAACACTTCTCGGACGTAGAAAGGTCTGTGCGTCTTCAAAGGTGCACCCTCGTCCATTTGAAGGATCACGTTTTGCCCGTTTGGAGGAGTAAGGCGAATCTTCAGAACAGGTCGACTGGCGTTTCCTCACATACCTGAAGCTGAAACATTGAAATCTGTGTTTCAGTTGTTGGTATTTAACTGAAAAGATCTATAACATTTGATATCTACGTATTCTACAGCATTGTCAATCTAGATAGAATCGCTTGGTCAAATTTGAATTAACCTAAATAATGCTGAATAATAATTAATAGCTTACTTTAATATCAGAAACAATCATATTAACCGGCACGTACATGCAAACAGAGCGCACATTAGTGCACCCCTTTAAGCACACAGTCCAACAAATCTCACCTCTTCATCAATGTAGCTCTGTGTTCAGTGCTGCACATGTCAAGTGGAGTTCGCCCATCTATATCTCGGATGTGAGGATCTCCTCCAGCCTTTACCAGCTCCTCAGCAATGTCAAGTCGTTCAGTCTCACAGGCATAGTGAAGTGGTGTCCGATTGGAGTCATCACACACATTAACATGGGCCTCATGTTTCAACAGATGTGACACAACCATTAAACATCTCCCAGTACAGGCATAATGCAGAGATGTTTGTCTCCGTTTATCTGGGTTATTTGGCATTGCCCCCTTAAGTAGCAACTGTTCAACAAAGTATGAGTTTCCATTAGCAGAGGAGAGATGAAGGGGTGTTTGCTTCTCAGAATTACTAGCATTTACTGCATTACACGCAGTCCTCGGTTCAATGCTTCCAAGCCAGTCAATTATAACCTGGAACATTTCCGCTTGTTCTGATCTATACACTGCATGAAGAAGTGTGTCACCACTTTCATTGACGTCAAGAGAGTGTGTATGGGGTAACAGGTGCTTGACAATCTGTATCTTTCCTGTCAGATAGGCAACGAATATAGGCGTGCTGCCTTTATAGTCTTTGATACTTGTATTTGCCCCATGTTCTATTAGAGCAGTGACTGCTTGGCTACAGAAGCGACTTGCCAGATGCAGCGGTGTTGATCCGTTAACAGTGTCCTGGTGGTTAATGAAATCATCAAACTCTTCACCGAATAATTTCCTCAGCCACATCACCTCAAGTAAGAGATCAACAATGCAACCATGGCCACGTTCACATGCAACGTGGAGGGGGGTTTTGCCATATGTATTTCTAATGGTAAGATCTTTGTACCATGGAAGTAGTTCCCCAACAATGACAGGTTTCCCCGTGCAACAGGCTACATGCAATGGTGTATTTCCAAAGTTGTTTTGACAAGGGTCAGCTCCAGAAACCAAATAATGTCTAATGATAGTTACAACGTGTGCGATGTTAACATCTGGTTTGTTTGTAAGTCCATAGAAAAGAAGATGAAGAGGCGAATCAGCTTGAAAGTTTCTAGAATCTACAGATGCACCGCCTGTTAATAGCGCTACTATTGCGTCAAGATGCGTATTAAGTGAAGACAGGTGAAGTGCAGTTTCATTGTAATTGTTCTGATCGTTAACATGACTTTGATTCAGTAGACTACGAACAGTAGCTGAGTGCCCGCGATGTGACGCAACATGGAGTGGCGTATCTCCGTCACTGTTTTTCAATGTCACGCAATCTTTCCTATCATGTTTTAGAAGAAAGTCAATAGCATGAGTACTGCCTGTCTTTGCGGCGATATGAAATGGTGTGTTGCCGTGATCATCTGTCATCTCCATAACGTTGCTGCACCTGACTAAAACGTTCAGCCTGTTTATGTTGTCCATTGTCTTACAGAGGTACATCCAGATGGTGTTTTGCATTCTACCATATTGGGTTAACTTTGCATGAGCGAAGAACATCCGAACAATTTTGTGATTTCCTCTCCTCAATGCAATGTCGAGAGGTGTGAAACCATTGCGGTTTTTTATCCATGCCAGATTAGGAATGGTATCGAGAAGGAACGTACATACTTTGTATTTGTCATAGGAACACGCCAGGTGCAGGACATTGTCACCTTCATCTGTTAAATGATCGAGATCCATTCCACCCTCGAGCAACATCTGTAGAATATGCAAATGCCCCCTTCGAGATGCTATGTGACAAAGCATTTCTCCATCTTTTGAATTTATAAACAGTTGCTGTTTAATCTCTACATGGAATTTCAATATGTTTTGTAATGTTTTCACGTCCCCGTGTTCACATGCTTTTTGGAAGATTGTGTAACCATTTGAATCGACAGCATTTGAATTGGTAGCTGACGACAACAAACAAGCAACCACATCCACGAACCCAGCATCATATGCAAGCTGTAAGGGAGATTCACCGTCATAGAGATGACTGTCATCCATATCTGACAGCCACCCAGCACTGTATGCTATAAGTAAACTAGCCACATCACCATGGCCACAGTCACAAGCTACTTTGACTGGAGGTACAGGAACAGAGTCCGTGTCTGGTTCATCAATTACTTCTATCACATGCCCTGTTTCTCTCATAGATACCGAATCATTGGACTTTTTCTCATATTGATGTGAAGCTGGAGTATTTTGTATGGTGCATCCTTCAATGATATGTTTCCTCAACATCGAAGGAAACACTGACTCAGAAGAAAGAAATGCTTTTGTTACGGGCGAATTACCTTTCTCACATATTTTCATGAAGTATGCTTTTACCATACTGGTCAATATCTAGCACATCAGCACCTTGATTTATAAGATACTCTGCTAGGTCAAAGTGGTTACCATCCATTGCCGCATGCAGTGACGTCATGCCCTCAATTCCACTTCTCACCGTGTTTTGAATGTATTCTATGTTTTCTCTTTCACCTTCATATATCTCACTTAAAGACACTGAAAGTGGTGTTATACACTGGAGGTCTTTTGACGAAATATCAGCACCATTTTGTCTTAAATACTTCGCTATATCTAAATGACCTCTCACAGAACATGCAGTCAAATAGTTACTGCCATTTGCACCTGCTATTTGAGATTTAGCTCCATTTAAAACCATTAGTTTTACAACATCAAGGTGGCCCTCTACTACAGCTGATAGAAGAGGTGTATTGTTAAATTTGTTTTTGCAGTTTGGGTCAGCAGCGTGATTCAATAAACAGTCAACAATTTCGTCATATCCTCTTGCACATGCCATATGGAGTGGAGTGCGTCCTTTATGTCCCTGTGCATTGACATCTGCTTTTGATGAAAGTAACACATTAACAGTTTGGATGTTTCCTGATTCACATGCATAATGTAGCGGAGTATCACTGTGAGAGTCAGTTTCATTTATAACTGCCCCTTTCTTTATCAAGTGTTGCACAGTTTCTGTATGACCTGATTTAGCAGCATAGTGGAGACATCCTTTCAAAGATACATTTGAATCGCAATCAGTTAAATCTTTAACAATGTTCAAATGTCCTTCGGAGGCAGCACACTGGAGTGGTGTCTGCCTGTCCATAGTTTCAACATTACTGGTGTGATGGTATCGAATGAGAAACCTTACGCTTTTTTGACACCCTCTCTCAGCAGCAATATGCATCGCAGTTTCTTTCTTGCAGTTCGTCAGAGAGCCATCAACACCACGTTCCAGTAAGGTCGCAACACTATCAGGAAAGCCAGATCTCACAGCATGATGAAGAAGTGAGTTACCATCAGAATCAACATCTGTCAATGACTTTTCGTGAATATGTTCAGATACAAGCTTGAACATAAAACCGTTATTTAACATTGAAATTGGCACATTTGATAATGAAGTTGTATACCTAAGGAGTGATTTCATGACAGTGAAGTTATTACTTTCCATGGCTGCATGAAGAGGCGTTTTACCTTCATTGTTTACATGATTTGGATTTGCACCATTCACTAATAACACTTGCACAGCTAAATCTCTTGCATATTTACTACAGATATAGAGACCTGTGCTCCCAGTTGGATCCACATGATCAACATAAACCCCAGAATCTAACAGTAAGTGGAGTACGTCAATGCTCCCTCTTCTACATACCAAATGAAAAGACGAAGCAACAGCCTGATCCGACCTATTCATTTCATATTGTAACAATAATCTCACAATGTCAGTGTGTCCTTGGTAACATGCTTCATAAAGAGGTGTCGTCTTCTTCCTATATTCAGTTACACTGGATACGGAAATGCCATAAAACAATGTCAAACAATAGTTTGAATACTGCATCTGACAAAAAGTTTTCTGCAAGTCATGTCGTTAGAATATTTGTGCAATAGCCATTCAACAATAGCCGTGTGTCCATATCTTGATGCAATCATTACACACGAGTCTGCGTGATGACTGGATGGAAATTTCTCAAAATAACGTTTTACCAAGTCCATGTAGCCACACGCAACAACCCTGTGGAGGAGAATACCTTTTACATCATCAGTATTGAGCAAATTAAGTATTTCAATGCATTTGACATTTTTCAAATCTTCTGCTGCTGTAAGTGTATTTTGAAAACAAATTCCATTGCACATTTCAGTTAGTAATAAAAGAACTTGTGGTGAGTCAAGGCAACATAATTCTTGAAGGAAGAATTCTGGAGATACATCTGAAGGAAGTATCGGTAGCAGCATCCTAAACATAATAAAATGTTTCTTTTGAAGAACCCTCTTAAGAAATGACGATATGTCGATATTGCTAGTTACATCTAGTTGCAATCGTTTGATGGACAGTCTGAAAAAATGGTATACAGTTGACACACAAACTCCCTTCCCACAAGCTGTAACAAGAGGTAAATACCAATCTATGTCGATATCAGTCACACTAGCCCCTTTCTCCAGCAGTAGCTTAACGATCTCTATATGTCCCTTTTCACAAGCTCTAGCCAGTAGTGAATACCATTCCATGTCGATATCAGTCACACTTGCCCCTTTCTCCAGCAGCAGCTGAACGATCTCTATATCTCCCTTCTTACAAGCTCTAGCCAGTGGTGAATACTGATACCTTCCGATATCAGTCACACTTGCCCCTTTCTCCAGCAGCAGCTTAACGATCTCTATATGTCCCTTTTCACAAGCTATAGCCAGTAGTGAATACCAATCCATGTCGATATCAGACACACTTGCCCCTTTCTCCAGCAGCAGCTTAACGATCTCTATATGTCCCTTTTCACAAGCTCCAGCCAGTAGTGAATACCATTCCATGTCGATATCAGTCACACTTGCCCCTTTCTCCAGCAGCAGCTTAACGATCTCTATATGTCCCTTTTCACAAGCTCTAGTCTGTGGTGAATACCCATCCACATCGAAATCAGTCACACTTGCCCCTTTCTCCAGCAGTGGCTCTATATCTCCGTTTTCACAACCTATAGCCAATGGTGAATACCCATCCACATCGATATCAGTCACACTTGCCCATTTCTCAAGCAGTATCTCTAAATCTCCGTTTTCACAAGCTCTAGTCTGTGGTGAATACCCAGCCATGTCGATATCAGTCACACTTGCCCCTTTCTCCAGCAGTAGCTTAACGATCTCTATATCTCCCTTTTCACAAGCTGTAGCCAGTGGTGAATACCCATCCATGTCGATATCAGTCACACTTGCCCCTTTCTCCAGCAGTAGCTTAACGATCTCTTTATATCCCTTTTCATAAGCTATAGCCAGTGGTGAATACCTATGCATGTCGATATCAGTCACACTGGCCCCTTTCTCCAGCAGCAGCTTAACGATCTCTATATCTCCCTTTTCACAAGCTCTAGCCAGTGGTGAATACCCATGCATGTCGATATCAGTCACACTGGCCCCTTTCTCCAGCAGTAGCTTAACGATCTCTATATCTCCCTTTTCACAAGCTCTAGCCAGTGGTGAATACCCAGCCATGTCGATATCAGTCACACTTGCCCCTTTCTCCAGCAGTATCTCTATATCACCCTTTTCACAGGCTCTAGCCAGTGGTGAATGCCCATCCATGTCGATATCAGTCACACTAGCCCCTTTCTCAAGCAGTAGCTTGACGATCTCTATATCTCCCTTTTCACAAGCTCTACACAGTGGTGAATACCTAGCCATGTCGATATCAGTCACACGTGCCCCTTTCTCCAGCAGTAGCTTCATGATCTCTATATCTCCCTTTTCACAAGCTCTAGTCAGTGATGAATACCCATACCTGTCGATATCAGTGACACTAGCCCCTTTCTCCAGCAGTAGCTTAACGATCTCTATATGTCCCTTTTCACAAGGTCTAGCCAATGGTGAATACCTATCCATGTCGATATCAGTCACACTGGCCCCTTTCTCCAGCAGTAGCTTAACGATCTCTATATCTCCCTTCTTACAAGCTCTAGCCAGTGGTGAATACCCATCCATGTCGATATCAGTCACACTAGCCCCTTTTTCCAGCAGTAGCTTAACGATCTTTATATCTCCGTTTTCACAAGCTATAGCCAATGGTGAATACCAATCCATGTCGATATCAGTCACACTTGCCCATTTCTCCAGCAGCAGCTTAACGATCTCTATATATCCCTTTTCACAAGCTCTAGCCAGTGGTGAATACCCATACCTGTCGATATCAGTCACACTAGACCCTTTCTCCAGGAGTAGCTTAACGATCTCTATATCTCCCTTTTCACAAGCCAGAGCCAGTGGTATAGACCCATAGCTGTCGATATCAGTCACACTAACTTCTTTCTCCAACAGCATTTTAACCACCCCGATATGTCCCTTTTGTAAACACTCTGATACAATATTTGAATCACGCATGACAACTTTTGCAGCGCTCGTATTAAGCAGTATCTTAACCACATCAGCATTGTTTGAATATGCAGCAATAAAAACGGGGTGTTGGCCATCCACGGTAACAGATCTATCAGCATCATACTGTAACAGTAACTCAATGATGTCAGTAAACCCTGCTGCACACGCTTTATGTAAAGGTGTATTAGACCCATCGTAAGGAAGCGGGTAACCCCTTTGATTTAATATAACCTTAGCGACGTCAAGAAATCCCTCCTTACAAACTATATATTGTGGCATTTCATTGTTGTAATTCAGCACCGTGCAGTCAGCCCCTCTCTCCAGCAGTATGGATACATTATCAGATTCCCCTCGCTTACAAGCAATATGCAGGGGCGTATTCCCTTCTGCATTCCCTTCTGAGATGCAGCATTGTCTTGCAATCAGTGCCATGAGGTCATGGTTACCTGATCTACAAGCAGAGTGTAATGGAGCAGTGAACTTGATGTCGTGGAGATTGAGATCTGCACCGTGCTGTATCAGACATTTCACAACATCTATATTCTCTTTAGTTGCAGCAGCTAAAGCAGCAGTACTCCCTTCTAGGAACGGTATGTGGGTTCCGGACCCTTCGACTAATTGTGCATTGACATCAAATCAATTCTCTAGAAGATAAGACACTACGCCAGTATGTCCGTAAAGACTGGAGAGGTGTAGGGGAGGTAAGGCATGGGCGTCATATGATTCAATCATTGTCAGAGGGTTCTCCATATTTTGTGCAATACCTGGTAGGGTACGCCGACCATTAGGATTCTTCTGACAATAAGTTAAATCGGTCTCTATGCAGAGTAACTGCACAATGCTGGAATTACCAGAAAGGCAACATGGAGTGAGACAAGCAGCCTTTTGATTAGCTGTTAAGTAGAACGACAGTGATTTGAACAGTTCAGCATTCCTCCCAAAGCACATCCAATGGATGAATGTTCCACCAAACGTTCTATCTGAATTTTCCAAAATAATTTGGATGTCATCAGACTTTAACTGACGTTTAACCGCGTTCAAGAACAACAAATTGAAGTGAAAATACCCAAAAGAATCGTGAGACAACACTAAAGCAAGGTTCCTTTGTAAAACTTCTTTTGCCAATGGTCTTGCCAAATCCTCAACCATTTTCCCCTTTAGACACACATAGAAACCACCATCTTGTTCATTGACCCTGATATGAAAGTATATGAATTTTAGATCAATAATGTCAATGTATTCTTGAAGGTGATCTGCATTTACTGAGGATAGCGCTCTTTGTATAAAGCATTCCTTATTTCGGCGTTTGTAGTTGCCTCACAATTACACAGTTGACAGCCCCAGTTAATATAGTCTTTCAGCGGGGAAGTATTTTCTTGGTCATCAAGAGCCATTAATGGCAGACATCCTTTCATGAAGCATACAAGTGTCAAGGCTACAAAGGAAGACTTTTGGTTTTGAAATAGTTCTTCACAATATGAAAGAATGTCTTCTGGACACAATCCTGAAATAAAATAAAAGCATTATGACGAATATTGAATCATGAGTATATCTAGTTCACATGCTGCAAAAACATAAACGCATACATGAAATATGTCAATAGAATATTTACATCTGAACCTAAATGAATGTTAACTGTTTTGAAAAGAATACTGATATTATGAAAAGTGCCAGACACTTCTCAAACTGGAAGGTAGTGAGAAATGTATATACAGACATATGTATGAAATACATGATCACATGACGGATGTGTGATGTGTAACAACGATGCCAGTTGGTTCAAGACGCAGCTACGGTCGAGAGTGAGGGAGAGTGACTGTGGGAAAGTGTGAGTGTGTGAGTGTGTGCGTAAGAGTGAGACGGAGTGTGTGTGTGTGAGACAGAGTGAGTGAGAGCGAGTAAGTGTGAGTAGGTGTGTGTGGGAGAAAGAGTGAGAGTGGGTGTGAGTGAGAGAGAGAGTGAGTGAGAGAATGTGTGTGTGAGAGAGCGAGAGCGAGCGTGTGTGTGAGAGTGAGTGAAAGAGAGAGTGAGAGTGAGTGTGAGAGAGAATGAGTGAGTGTCTGAGAGAGAGAGAGTGTGAGTGAGTGTGTGTGAGAGATAGAACGAGTGAGAGAGTGAGAGTGAGTGTGTGTGAGAGAGTGAGTGAGTGAGTGAGAATGGTGTGTGTGTGTGAGAGAGAGAGTGAAAGAGTGAGTGTGTTTGTAAGAGAGTGAGAGTAGTGAATAAGTGTATTAAATATTGACATCATGACTAAATACATTTGTTTACCACCGAAGATCATTCATTGGCTTCTTTACTTATGACGTAAAATACAATCTCTCAGCAAAACAACAAGATATTCATATGATTGTCGTACTGCGGAGAATGTATTACAATTCCTTTTGAAAGACCTCATGTTTAGATGTCACTTGCACCAACTTTGAAAACTCCCTGTAATTGTGTTCACTTTTCAGTAACTTCTTTGAGTGGCATGTTTAGAAGATAGTGAATCAGATAAGGACACAACTTTATTGATAAACAACTTCTTTATTCGGATGATGCGACGTTTCGATACAGATCCTTGTATCGTCAAGTATGAGTCAGAAAAAACACCCCCGCAAAAAACAAAACAAAAACAACAAGCAGTTGTCACTAAGGTGACATAATCCCGCATATTATCATATCAAACTTAAAAAGTAACGAAAGTGAAGGTCGTAGTTTAAGATGAAGTTAAATGTCACCAAAAACATGACCAGTCAACTTCTCTTGATATTTTGCTCTGCTCTGTAGCTGTTCAAACACACACATATTTTCAAGTATCACTTTGACCTTGACATGAATGTCATTGTGTATGAAATATGCAAAACATAGTAATAGAGAAATTGCTTTTAAAAAAACATTCAAGAGAAGTCTTGAAAATCTATGAAGAAAATCCAGTGAACCCTTCTTGAGATATCTTGCTGACAATCTTAACATACTGAAATCTTCAAAGTGTCGCTGTGACCTTGAAACTAAAGTGAAGGTCACCAAACTCGACTGGGCCCTGCACCTTCCCTATTTAAAGCTTGGTGCCAAATATGAAGAAAATCCAGTAAACGGTTCTTGAGGTATCTCGCTGACAAGCTTGACATGCAGGATAACATGCTAAAATCTTCAAAGTGTCGTCGTGACCTTGATAATTGGTGTAAAGCAACCCATGCTTGTTGTAAGAGGTGACTTACCTTGATCCAATTATGTAGATCAATGCTCATGATGTCAATCACTGGATTGTCTGGCCCAGACTCGACTATCATCATTATACAGCTGGAATATTGCTCAGTGTAGCATTTAGCAAACAAGCAAACAAGGAAACACAAAAATATAACCCACAGTGGATGTTTTTAAATTCCCATGCCCAGTCAGAGACTACAAAGAAAGAGGTACTAGAAAGATCTCCCAGATGTTCCTCAACTGTGCAAGGGTTCACTGTTCATGAGTTTGAATTTGACACTCTTCTTGATTTCTTTGGAATTACACTAAAGTTCAGATTCTAGTACTTTTGTTGGGTTGAGTCCCATCTGGGGTTTGAACCCACTCTCAGAATCAGGAACCTAATTGCCAGCACACAAAGTCAGCAATCTTACTCGCTCAGCTGCCATGGCTTCAACAAAAACAAAAGTGTTACAAGTGGTAGTGTAGGCAACATATTTTGTTTATCCCTCCTACAAGTGTATATGTTTTGTTTAAGCAGTAACATTTGTTATATTTCTGTTATCAAAGAATGGGAAATGAAAAAAAGTCAAGATGAACTTGAGTATCTCATTTTCTTTCCAGATGGGAGAGGATGCAGAAGCAAGAATCTAGAAGCGCATCACGTGGGCAGTCTCCGCAGCCGGAATCAGCGTCACCTGGTGCCTACTTCCTGTCGGGGGAGGAGGCGAGCAGACTGCAGAGACAAAAACAGGTCAGTATCGGGCTGCCTCAGTAAGGAGGGTGCTTTTGTAGGCTTGACCGATGAGTGAGTTAAAATTTAACATTGCTTCAGCTTCATTTCAGCAATGATGAGTGAGTGAGTGAGTTTAGTTTTATGCCGCTTTTAGCATTATTCCAGCAATATCATGGTGGGGGACCCCAGAAATGGGCTTCAGACATGGTACCCATGTGGGGAATCAAACCCGGATCTTCAGCGTGAAGAGTGAACGCTTTAACCACTAGGCTACTCCACCTCTCTAGAATGATGAGACCAGGTTAACACATTATTCAAGTTGAAATTGAGTGAATGTGTTTGATTTTGTGCTACTTTTAGCAATAATCCAGCTATTTGAAGGTGGGGACACAGAAATGGTCTTTACACATTGTAACCATGTGTAAAATTGAACCTGGTTTTCAGGGTGAGGAGCGAACGGTTTAACCACTAGCCTATCCCTCTTGCCCCTTAAGTTGAAAAGGACAAGAACCTGTCTGTGGTTAAGTCACCAAACTTGACACATGACAGAAACACTATTTGGCAGTCACAACTGACACAGTTGGTGAGGAAAATCCAACACTGGACATTTATTTTTAGCAGAGTTTTCTTATGAATGTGGAAAGTTTTTTGTTGCTTGTATTCATTGTGGATTGAAGAATTGACTTGTGCTCAAATATCACTTTAAATACAGGGAAGAAGTACACCGGATTACAGGTCAGATTCCCAGGACCGGCACAAGGAACCAGGAACCAGGCCCGGTGGCCAGGAAGGTATGTTCCATCGTCTAGGCTGTATTTATGAAGGTGATGTTACTGCAACGACTGTTGATAATCCATTACAATGTCAGAGACTATTTAACATAGTGTTGAGTGTCCCTGTGTGGCACAAGCCCCTGGTATCTTCCCCATGGTGACACTGTAAGAAAGTTTAGTCCAGATAATTTCAGATTATATGAATGATGTTAATCTACAGTCCATTTGATTTCATTTGAGACCGATGAATTGCTCACTAACACAAAATCTAATAATTGCAATAAAAACAAATTTTGCACAGTCACATGAAATCGACAGACCAACTCTGATGATTTGTCTCATAATTTTGGACATCCGAATAAAAAAGTTGTTTAACAAACGATCATTATTTTGTTGTCACTTTTCGCTATTTGTTACGAGGGGGGATCATTTGCTGATAGAACAGCCAGGTAGCCAACAAGCGTGTGTAGTGAAATTTCAATTTCACACGTGCAACTCAAAACACTTGGCTGTTCTACCAGCAAGTGATTTGGTTTTGTTACAATTATTAGATTTTGTGTTAGTGAGCAATTCATCGGTCTCAAATCGGAAATCAAATGGACTATAATCATATTTATGGTGACAATTTTATGATTTTACGAATGCTTCAGATGACATGATTGTTGTTAACACCATCATTGTAGTGATGTTTTGATCAATTTTGATCAATTAATTGCTTTCTATGGATTGAAGTGTAAATTCATAAATCACCTGGTTATTTTTTCCAAATCTATAACTTAGTAAAATCAAATCTTACATTTTCATGGGAACAAGTACAGATTAGATCATAAATACACGCATGTAATTCAATGGTATAAATTATTTCAGAAAAGTAGTTCATTTGGTGTCAATTTTCCACCTTTTCCCATTCAGGTAGTGGAAGTAGAACAAAATATGAAAAAAATGAATGGTTACCATGGCAACACATCTCGGGACAGTTTGTCGTCTCGAGACCGAGCATCTCCTTCATTGCCTGATAGAGGGCGCTTCTCACCCTCTTCACATGATCGCCGATCGCCTACACAAGCTGGACGTTCGCGGTCACCTAGGGATGACTACTCACCAGTCATCAGAGGGGGTCCCCCTGGGTCAGGACGCCCCTCCCTCAACATCTCACGGGACAGACTGTCGAGTGATGGGAGAGAGTCCTCGAGTAGGCGGGACGATCCAAACACATCGCTGCCTCGCCCAAGACGCCACAGTCATGATTTCAGGGACCACAAGATGAGGAAGGTATACAAAATTCTTTGACATATTTAAAGAGACACAGGCAATCAGACCTCACAAATTTGAATGTCATCTTCAAAACTGTTTGTTTGTCTCTTAGCTCAGGTCATATAGGCCAATCTAGGGGCGATGGGGTAGCCTAGTGGTTTAAGTGTTCGCTTGTTATGGCGAAGACCCGGGTTTGATTCCCCACATGGGTACAATGTGTGAAGACCATTTCTGGTGTCCCAGTGATATTGCTGGAATATTGCGTAAAGAGAGGCATTAAACTAAACTCACTCATTTAGATCAATCTAATCCGCATGGCAAAAGAAAGAATGCACAAGTGTTTGAATGGTCTAAACAGAAACACAAAAGAAATGTGTCAGATGTATTTGATGTGATGTATTAGAGACAGGTATTGTAGTTACATTTTGGACCCAAGTGCGCATTGTTTCAGTGACCGATTTTAGCCAAGCAGAGATCCAATAATGTAATTTGTTGATCAAACAAATTTTCACGAGCATGCTGTCATTTTCTCGACAGTATATGACAACAGGAATTACCAAAAGACAATGGCAATGACAATGAATTACTTATTTATGAGAACACATATGCACAAATGACTTACTACCTTATCAGCTTGTTTGGTCATCCTGTTTGGTCAAGTGGACAATGTATCCAACCTTGGCCACAAAGTTTTTTTATGACTGCAATGGTTAGGCCCATGGTAGTAGTTGTAACACTGACTGACTGACTGAGTTTGGTTTTACGCCGCTTTTAGCAATATTCCAGCAATATCATGTCAAGGGACACCATAAATGGGCTTCATACATTGTACCCATGTGGAGAATCGAACCCAGGTCTTGGGCATGATGAGCAAACACTTTAACCACTAGGCTACCCCACTGCCCCCGTAAGTGCTGGAAATGTTGTGCTTAGATTGTGCTTAAAGGCATGAAGATGGTGCCGTCACATCTCACTGTCGAAGATTATGGTGCCGTCACATCTCACTGTCCATCAAGGTATGTATGATAGGATGGTGATTTAGTATTATCAAGGATGTTCTGTTTGTGTTACTCAAGCATCCAGGGGGTGGCAGTAGGCAGAGTCTGGATGACAGCGGCATCTCGGACCAGGAACAGGGGGCACTTGCTAACCTGCCAGGCCCTGGGAAGTTCAAACAGATGACGAAACAGAGAGGGGCTGACGATGTGGACAGTGGATTCATAGGATCGGTTGTTGGGTCAGATGTCACTCGGCCTTTACCTCAGCAACAGCAGCAGCAGCAACAGCAGCAGCAGTCACTGAGACTGAGACATCCTGGGGACTCGGGGAGGAGGAACAGGGCGAGGTGAAATAAACAATCAAAATCTGAATCTAAATCTACAAGGACATCAAAGTCAACATCCAAGTTCAAGTCTTAATCCACATCCAGAACCACATCGACAACCACATCCAAATCATAAATCCAAATCCAGAACCACTCCCACAGACACAACCACAGACACAGACACATCCACATCCAACAGACACACACAGACACAGACACAGACACAGACACAGACACAGACACAGACACAGACACAGACACAGACACAGACACAGACACACAGACACAGCCACAGACACAGACACAGACACAGACACAGACACAACCACAGACACAACACAGACACAGACACAGACACAGACACAGACACAGACACAGACACACAGACACAGACACAGACACAGACACAGACACACACACAGACACAGACACAGACACACACAGACACAGACACACACACAGACACAGACACAGACACACAGACAGACACAGACACAGACACAGACACAGACACAACCACAGACACAACACAGCCACAGACACAGCCACAGACACACAGACACACACAATCACAGACACAGACACACAGACACAGACACACAGACACAACCACAGACACAGACAAGACAGACACAAGACACACAGACACAACACACAGACACAAACACAGACACAGACACAGACACAGACACAGACACAGACACAGACACAAACACAGACACAGACACACAGACACACACAGACACAGACACAACCACAGACACAGACACACCACAGACACACAGACACAGACACAGACACAGACACAGACACCACAGACACAGACACAGCACACACAGACACAGAAACACAGACACAGACACAGACACACAGCCACAAACACAGAAACAGCCACAGACACAGACACAGACACAAAAACAGACACAGACACAATGACAATCACAGACACAGACACAAACACAGACACAACCACAGACACAGACACAACCACAGACACAGACACAACCACAGACACAGACACAGACACAGACACAGACACAGAGACAGTCCACAGACACAGCCACAGACACAGACACAGACACAACACAGACAGACAGACACAGACACAGACAGACACAGACACAGCCACAGACACAGCAGACAGACACAGACACAGACACAGACACAGACACAGACACAGACACACCACAGACCACAGCCACAGACCACAGCCACAGACACAGACACAGAGACACAGACACAGACACAGACACAGACACAGACACAAACACAGACACAGACACAGACACAACCACAGACACAGACACAGCCACAGCCACAGCCACAGACACAGCCACAGACACAGACACAGACACAGACACAGACACAACACAGACACAACCACAGACACAGACACAGACACACAACCACAGACACAGACACAACCACAGACACAGACACAGACACACACCACAGACACAGACACAGACAGACACAGACACAGACACAGACAGACACAACCACAGACACAGACACAGACACAGACACAGACACAGCCACAGACAGACAAACACAGACACAGACACAGACACAGACACAGACACAGCCACAACCACAGACAGACACAGCCACAGACACAGACACAGACACAAACAGACACAGACACAGACACAGACACACAGACACAATCACAGACACAGACACAAACACAGACACAACCACAGACACAGACACAACCACAGACACAGACACAGACACAGACACAGACACAGACACAGACACAGACACAACCACAGACACAGACACAGACACAGACACAGACACAGACACAACCACAGACACAGACACAGCCACAGCCACAGACATAGACACAGCCACAGACACAGACACAGACACAGACACAGACACAACCACAGCCACAGACATAGACACAGCCACAGACACAGACACAGACACAGCCACAGAGACACAGAAACAGACACAAACACAGAAACAGACACAGATACAACCACAGCCACACCCACAGCCACAGCCACAGCCACAGACACAGACACAGACACAACCACAGACACAGACACACACACAGACACAGACACAGACACAACCACAGACACAGACACAGACACAGACACAACTACAGCAACAGACACAACCACAGACACAGACACAACCACAGACACAGACACAGACACATTAAATCCAAATTAATGTTAAGTTGCAAAACCCTATCTACATCCATTACCATGTCCTCATCCAAATACAAATAAGAAAGCTAATTCATATCCATTTTCAAAACCACATATTCATAACCAGATCCACAAATACTAGTATAAGTAGCCAAGTTGAAATCCATGTCCACATAAAACTCCAAATCCAAACCTCCATCAATATCTAAATCCATTTGTATATCCGAGTCTCCATTAAAATCTAAATCCATATGTATCTCCATATCTCCATTTATATCTAAATCTGTATCCAAATCTATATCCACATCCATATTCAGCTGTGTTTGGAATAGCTCTTTGCATCTCCACAGGGACTAATAAGGAAAATAAACTCAATGGTTACAAGATTCGACCTGGCTCATGATGTGTCATTGAACAGAATTGTAACTCACTCTGTCAATCACCGGTTTGCCTGTGCCAGACTCGAACATGATGATATATCTGGAATTCCCTCATTCAATTGTAAATACTTAAATTCAGTCAGTTCATTCTTCCTCTTTTCATAATTTCAGTGGTGTTAGAAGTGGTGCTGACACAAGCACATCGGACACTGGTCGCGGTCGGTCTAGGTCGACCAGAGACAGTGAAAGTGACCATAGAGACAGTAGCATGCAGAATGATAGCATGGAGGTGACAGCCAGTTTCATGGATGACCCAACAGAAACTGAGGTCAGTGAAAGTGACAGAGGTCAGAGGTCGCAGAAAAGACAAGGTCGTGATAATCGGAATGTGGGTCGTCATGATCAAACATCGGAAGGTTACTCAGGAGAAGGTAATTCTAGTTGCTAATTTATGAACTAAAGTGTGAATATATAAATGCCATTTTAGATCATGTTCTTTTTATATAAAATATAAATTTTGTATAAATAAAGTTTCTTGAACTGATAATAACATTACTAATGGAATATATTTTGAATGCTGTTGAAATCTGTTTTGACAATTTTCAAAAATATTTTATGTGTATTATTAATAAATTTAAATGCAGTAATAATTGGAATCAACAGCTCTGATCTTCTGATTTCTTATATTTTAAATGGTTTGAATTTCAAGACTTTTGTTGAGAATGTGATTCTTGTTACTATGACCAGAAGACACCGATGCTACGCCAAAACCTTCAACACGATTAAAAATCAGCCCCAAATCAGAAAACAAAGAATCAACATCACCTTCCAAACCTCAGCGTAAATCTCGCACCTTGGTGTCAGAGGAAGAAGAGGAGATAACTCCGAGAGCCACACCAACACGAGGAATGCAAGTATCGAGATATGTCTCTTCCTCTGACATGGAGACACCAAGAAGTGTCCAAGCCAGAACGAGACAGACTGCTCCACCAAGATCAGGGGTCTCCAGGGCGCCACCTGCTGGCAGACAGCTGGATCGAACAGAAGAACATGCTGTTAAAGGGAGAGAATCCCTGCTGAAGAGTAATCTCCAGCAAAGGACAGAAGATAGAGGAGTGGGGTCAGACAGAGGTCAGGAGTCAGATGCTACACGGGTGTCGTCTGCATCAGGGTAAGTATTGATAGTCTGAATAATTATTGTTATCTCCCGGAACATGTTTTGCGGGAGGAATTAAAATGGACTCCGTCCCTCTGTGCGTCTTTTCCGGAGCAGAACTTTAAAACCAATCACTATTTCTTCACCAAACTTGGCACATAGATAGATCTGGTGGTGTGCTGGTGCCTTTTGGTAGTTTTGGAATTCTGAATAAAATATTAAAATTATTTGCATTTCAATGGCAGCAATTTTGATTTTGACTGAATTTGGTGGTAGTGATCTTTTCTGGAGCAGAACTTAAAAAACGTTCACTATCTCTTCACCAAACATGGCACATAGATAGATCTGGTGGTGTACTGGTGCCTTTTGGTAGTTTTGGAACTCTTAATAAAATATCTTTTGCGTTTACATGCCAGCAAGTTTGATTTTGACTGAATTTGGTGGTAGTGCTCCTTTCTGGAGCAGAACTTAAAAACCTTTCAATACTCTACATCCACTTTGCTATATACACGCCAAAACATTTGTCATAATCATAAGTAGTAGACATATTCATGAAGAGTATTTTGCCATTGCGGGGGATATTGATGACTTTGTCTTCTTGTTAATTGTGGCATCAGGTGAGGTGAGGTCAAATTGGGTTTTACGTCATGCTTGATGATGTTTATATGATTGTTATCTAAGTTGATATTATTGTTCAGATCTCGCCTACGTGCTCTACAAGATGAGGTTGAGAGGTTAAAGGAGAGAGTTGAACAGGCCGTGGAATCCCCCCCACAAGCACCTCTTCCACCTCCTCAAAGTCAGCCCGAGTACTATGACCCTTTTGATGATCCCTATGGCTTCATGAGGATGCCAAGGAGGAGAGCCAACTCCTTTTCGGGCACCAATACTCGGGAGTGGGATGAATGGTACTGGACGCTGCCCAATCAGCGGAGAAACGATGGCTCGGACATCCCTCTTGGGTATGCTGCAGCAGATGCTTATGCTGACGTGCCCCCACCTCAAGCTGCGGAATCTCCTGCGAGGAGTAGAATACGGAGACGCAGAATGGAGCGAATGAAGAAAACAGAGCAGGGAAAGAAGCCGAACCCTGCAAGTGGACCTACTGAACATCCTCCTGAAGCTTTTGCAGGTCCGGGAATAGTTCTAGGTGCTCATCCTGGATTAGCATCTCAGCCAGGAGTAGCAGGTCATCCTGGAGCTCATCCTGCAGCTCATCCTGCAGCTCATCCTGCAGCTCATCCTGCAACTCATCTTGGAGCTCAGCCTGCAACTCATCCTGGTTTGAGAGCAGGAGCTATTCCTGGAGCTGTAGGTGGATCTGTAGGGGCACCTTCATCCCCCAGAGATGGGGATGGTGCTGGACTCTATGAATATTATGTTCCTTCCAGGTACAGCACACAGGGAATGAGACAGCAACTAGCCAGTAAGGGATATTTCCGTACTCCCTCTGGTGCCAAAATCTACGCCAATCAACAGCAAGGTGGTCCCCATGTACCTGGCTACCACCCAGGTATTCCCCATGGACACCCCCCACCTCAATACGCCTACGGTAACTATGGAGGGTCATGCCAGCCGAGGTTACCAGTCTGATACTGCTAGCATGCATCCAGGAACGAACCGTCCCTTTTATACCATCCGTCGTTCTTCCAACAGACCAGTGTTTTCTATGCCAAGGTCAAGGCCAGTCATGCAATCCTATTATGAGGACTATGATTCTGTGGATGGACGGTCAGGCTATCAGACTGATCCAGGAATCGGGGCTGGTTCCCAGACGTGGAGACAGAGATCGTATGTGGTTGAAGCAGCACTTTGTCCTCTCTGTGGAGGCTCCGGGGAACATACACACGCTGAATATGAAGGAGGAGACAACTTGCAATATCACACCAGGGAGTTCGTCACAGAAAGGTGGGTTGGAATTACAAAATGTGTTCTCAACGTCCCAAAATTTATATTCCTTGCACTCCTTCCAATTATCTATTGATGATCAGGTGGCTAGTTTATGGATTAGATGGGCAAAATTGTTGGAGTGTATTGATATGTAGTACAAGGTTGATGGTTGTCATACATGGAGAATTTTTCTGTATATAGTTTATGTGCGTAATGGTGTTAACGCGATGTTGCTGGAATGTTGCGAAAAGTGGCATAAAACTGTTAATCAGACATTGTATAAAGTCATTCAAAGGCATGTTGCATGAGAGTGCCACCATCAGGCTATGATTCAGTGGCTGCTAGGTTGTAGTTCAATTGACAAAACTCAACTCACTCACTCATTCCAAACTTAATGTCAATATGAAGGGATGCGAACATTGTGCCATGACATTTTCTTAGATGATTTTTTTTCTGTTTAGATCAAGCAGGCCTCATAGAAGGTCAAGGTCAGCATCAAGGTCAACATCAAGGTCACATCACTTCAGTCCGGAGCGGAGCAGCAGCTACTGGATTCGTGAGTTCAGGGAAACATCCAGTGATGACACAGATGAAGAAGTTTATTCACGGCGGAGGAGGTGTGGCACCAAATATTTATGTAACATAGCAAATGGTTGTTCAAATTCAAAAAGATGTCTTTTAAGCACCAAATATTTAAGTAGAGCAGAAAATGGAAATGGAAAATGTCTTTTCACTGATTCATTTACTACCGTTTTTAGTACAAAATAGTTAAGTAGTGTAGAAAATGGAATTCATGTTCTAAATATTCATGCTGCTGGAATGTTGCCTTGTTAACTATATGTTTATGGCACAGGATAATATGTGAAATTTTACAATATTGTTTTAATGAATATTTGTTTTTTGATAAAACACAGAAAATAATGAGTTTTCTGCATTTTTGGTGTCCAATTTAGATTTGGCAGCCATATTGAATACACATAAGTGATAAAGTATATAAAAAGGATACAATGAAAGAGCCGCCTCTTACAACAAGCAAGGGTTGCTGAAGACCAACTGTAACACAGATCTTCTACGTTTCTTTGGGTTTGCGACTTTGTTGACTTCATGTTTGGGATGTTGTTCAGGATACTGACCTCTGGTTTGTGTAGTCCTGGGCCCCATTCCTCAAAGCGATCGTAGCGCTACGACAGTCGTAAGTCTTTGTTAAAGTATGGGAGTTACGACTGTCGTAGCGCTACGATCGCTTTGAGGAACGGGGCCCAGACCATTTCCAGGCATCCATCGTGCTGCTCAATGTGACATTACACAAGAAAAGCAACAAGTCACTAACAATGCTGATGCCATGTCCCTAAACAAATTCATTAGAGATACCCCATGGCGAGGATGTTCATAATTATTTCTTTTTGTTGATTTTCCCCAAAAATGTTTCTTATATTTACCTTTATTTATCTTTTTCAGGAGCCGAAGTTTATCACGCACGAGACGGAAAACTAGAAAATATAGAAAAGTGCATGGATCTTACAGTGACCGAGATGTGGATGTGAGTTGCCTTGTTCCTAACTGTTGGACCCAGAGTTGGACCAGGAGGATCCGGGTTAGAATTGGTCTTCAGTAACCCATGCTTGTCGTAAGAGATGACTAGCAGGATCTGGTGGTCAGGCTTGCTGACTTGGTTGACACATGTCATCATATCCAAGTTGCGTACATCGTTGCTCATGCTGTTGATCACTGGATCGTCTGGTCCAGACTTGATTACTTACAAACTGCCGCCATATAGATGGAATATTGCTGAGTGTGGCGTAAAGCTAAACTCACTCACTCACCTAGAGCTGTGTGTAAAATTTATGGATGTTATGATAAATGTTTGCTTTACTTAAATACTAAATGTTACCATGGAAACTGATTTCAAATTATGCTCATCAATCATAACTCATCCTGCGAGGGGAATGTACTCATGTATACATTAGAATAAAGATGCAAGTGACTTTCAACAGATTAATGTTTTTAAAAAAATGACTGTTGAAGCCAGTTCTTAAGACTCAGAATGACATGTTTCTTTACACATGAAAAGATTGAAAACTGTGGATGTTTACTATTTCCATTTATGTTTGCATCAGAATAAAGATGCAAGTGACTTTCCATAGAATTCTTTTTTAGTGTTGTAACCATGGCATGTTTCTTTACACATAAAAACATTTAAACTTTTATATGGGTCCTCTTGAAGTGACATTTGCATGAGTGCAGATCCAGTTTTTATTAACTTTGTTATTTTTACCCCTTTTGGTAATAAAATCTTATTGATGAAATATGATATTTTCATGCAGTTATTAATTTTTATAGATTTTAGGATATGAATGTGTCAAGAATTAGTTCATCCGCAATTTTTTTTACAAGCAACTTCACATATTATGATTTAAGGTACCAGGTAAATGATGGTGAAAATATTTGATAATGATTTACATGTAGTGGTGAAAACATTGTAATTGTTGCAGAGGGACGACTCACTGGATGTTGATCTGAACGAGTCTCTGAATCTGAGCGAGGATATTCGTGGTCTCACTCGGAGGATGCTACGATCTGTGCGTTCAGACTTACGCAGCTACAAGAGGAGAGATTTCGGCTCTTCGGAATGGTGATGCTGACAAAGGGGAATCTCCGATCAAACATACATTGATCCTGATTGCTTCTGTTTCAGCCAAACATGTATACCTCGAACCTCAATGGCAATTCTCTCACAGTGTAGTGCCTGAGGGTCAGCATCAGATATTACTGTGATATTGTTCAAAGCAGTGTGTATCATATCTCACTCTCTCATATCTGCTGAATAATGAGTCATGTGGAGGTAATGTGGCTGATTTGGGGGTCATTGTGTCCTGAAGACATGGGTCTTTGCTCTTGTTGTCAACCACTGGTTACATGGCCCAAATTTCATTTTCTTGAGGCCATGATGGAATATGGTTGACTGTGGCAAAAGAACATTCATTCAATGTGTGCAGAGAAATAGAGCTTCCTGGGAATAAAGTCAGTCTGGTTCCTTCTTGTATAACCAAAATAACCTATCCTGATATTCTGTTGAAATATATAACCATGGAAAAATTTCAATCTGGATGTTTGGAAAAGGAAGAAGAGGTTTTGATTCAAGTGGGAGTGTGTTTGTTTTGTTTGATAACAAAATATTTTAAAGTATCTGTGATAACCATGGTTATAAGCCTGCATAAACAGCCATTGTACCAGGTATCGTTTTATTTAGACTTTTAAACTTCATAAGCATAATATCTTCCATCCATTATGTTATACAATGCAGTATAGTTCGTCAACATGTATGTCTTACATTACACAGCAATGAAGTCATGAAATCCAATATGGCCGTTTTGTCCACCATTTTGTATTCAGGTCTATTTCTTAGTTGACATCATATTACCATAAATCCTCCATTGTAAGATGAACCTAAGTGAAAAGAGTTGTCTAAATGTCATAATAAAAGAAAGAACTGGTAATATTTCAATTATCACACCCTCTTGTGGGTCATTTGAAGAGCTGAAGAATGTAGCTTCTAATGAAGATTTTATGATGGTAGTCATTTTGTTATTCCAGTAAATGGCTTTTTGTGTAACATCTCTCTGCAGACAAATCTTCTAGTGAATAATATACAGGCTAGTTGTATCATGTAAAATTTACCATCCTCATTAAATACAGAGAATTTGATCCCCATTTTATCATAAATAGCTTGGAATCTATTTCTTTCATATGTTTGTTTTGAACTTGATTCTTTTGACATGAGGTTAAAAATAGCTGTCCAATCAAATTGTGCTAATCGGAAATAGAATTCTTGTGCAAATATTGCAATAAAAGAGAAGGCTGATGGTTGTGTTGCTTTTAAAATCTCAAACTGAAGACATAGTGGCAAGTGTTTACCACAATAGAATAACACTGTTTTAATGAGGATGACAATTAGCAGCACAAATGTATTTTGAATAATTGCCAGCAGGCTGATATTATGCCGTAATATATGATTCTTCTGTAAGTGGCGTTTGGAAACTGGTATGATGTTGAGGAACAAATGTACTTTTTAACTTGCCTTTATGTACAATTTTTTTAACAAAGACCTGGCTTCTGTGGCGTGTGTTCACCTAAGCATGACCTTGTATGAGACACATATGTAATAATTGTATGTTATCCATTCATTGTTATCTGAACTTTAAAACAAAAACGTTATTTGTTCAGTATTTGTGTTTTACAGTTTATGTTTCGGTTTTTATCTCAAGGTCCGATGACATACATGTGGAACATACCGGATGTTGACGTCTGTGCAGCAATGAACATATACCATCATGTTTGCATGAAATTAAAGGGGCGGTGAGGTAGCCTAATGGTTAAAGCGTCGGCTTGTCATGCTGATGAACCAGGTTCGATTCCCCACATGGGTTTGTTGTGTGAAACCCATTTCTGATGCTCCCTGCTGTGATATTGCTGGAATATTACTAAAAGCGGCATAAAACCATACTCACTCACTTACTTATTGAAATTAAAGTCAATCTGTGATTTTTCATATCATAAATTAACATTTTTCCATGTTCCACATAAGGGAAACTGAAGGGAAAGTTTGGTTTAGAATGGTGATTAGATCCAGCGACCATCCTGATGCACCCAGTCTGTGTCTAGATGTCAGTCAGTTTGCAACCTCCATCACATCACTATGACTGACTGACTGAGTTTGGTTTTACGCCGCTTTTAGCAATATTCCAGCAATATCACGGCGGGGGGACACCAGAAATGGGCTTCACACATTGTACCCATGTGGGGATTCGAACCCGGGTCTTCGGCGTGACGAGCCAACGCTTTAACCACTAGGCTACCCCACCGCCCCACATCACTATGAACATAGGGGGCAGTGGAGTAGCCTAGTGGTTAGAGTGTTAGCTTATCATGCCAAAAGTCTGGGTTCAATTCCCAATGTAGGTACAATGTGTAAAATATATGGTGTCCCTCCCTGTAGTGATATTGCTGGAATATTGCTAAAAGCAGCGTAAAATCATACTCACTCACATACTTTTATCCGTCCACCCTACTCCCGAGGGACAATCATCACGCAATGGCCATTTGTGGTTGCATCATATATTCCTATATATTCTGTTACTTCACAGTGGCAGATCAATTGTTACTATTTTATTGATAATTGAATATTTTATTGATATTCATGAAGTAATCTCTGGTTTAGAATAGCTTTTCCAACTGCCCAACACTACAGTTTACAGTCTTGCTAATGGGAACCAAACCCCATAAAATGATTAAGAAGCAATATAGTACATTAATCTTTGAGGAATGAATACATCGTTCAGAATGGTGTTCAAGTGTATTTGTTCACTGTATTTAATGTATTTGTTGATGTTCTTTCTGATTTGATACAAATGCCCCCACATATTTAGAGACCAAACTATCAGTGACATATCGTCATGGAAACAGGTAAACGTGGACCCCTATCTTTAATAATGATAATAACAGTAATGGACATTTATAATGCGCCTGTATCCACACACTTGTACTAACTCAATAAAATCAGAGGATAATGTACAATAAATATACATTGTGGGTTTGAAAAGCTAGTAATAGGTGCTCTTGAAGAAATTGGTTTTCAGGCGAGATTTGAAACTTGCGACAGAATCAGAAAGTTTTATGTTGAACGTAGTCAGTTCCACAGACATGAAGCTGCATGTTGGAATGATCGCTTGTCAAACGAAGCTAAGCGGATCATGAGGTCTGTTAACAGAAGCTGGTTCTAGGAGGGAAGAGTTCTGGTAGGGTGTTCATCTTTGCTTTGAATGTCCTTCGGTATTTTTGAGTATTCAGATGATGAATGTGAATAAAAGAACACATGGTTACCAACAGGAATCCGTCCTCTACAACCTTTTACATGCTCAGAGTGGCTGATACACTAAAGTATTGTCATTAGTCAATGTGGATTACTTATGTCAAGCTACATTGTGATATGAAAGACTTGCAGCTATGGTAGATCACATTTAAGTTATATTTAAGTTGTTTTGCATATATCATGCATATATTCAGTATTGATCACTGTAATTTTGGATCTGATCCAAAATTGATTGTACTATTAATCCCTGTTATATATTTTTACAAATCAGCTGAATTTGAAAATATGAAATATAATTTTTAATTAGATACTTTTTGTAGCTGAATAACCTGTTATAAATATGATAATTAGTTAACAATTACTGATTTCAGAACTGGACTAGTAGAGTATGTGTCAATATTTTAATGAGTTGATGTACTTTTAATATTTATTTTACATATATATTCATAATATGAACCATATCCGTCCTTGAAGCTGAACACATGTATTTTATAACTTCACATGTTATTGCTTCGTATTTTGTGATGTCAAGGTCATTTACATTTTACTTTTACAGGTCTGCGTATTAGAGTTGCTGAAATAATGTGTTAACATATAGCAATACTAAGTGTAAAGATGTTATGTTGTCT